ATCAAGACGGGGCCTGACTCCTCCAGACGCTGGTCTTCCAGGATCTTACCAATCGTGGGCGAGCTAAGGGTCCGAGCAGATGTGCGGGGCGCTGGCCTTCTCTGCTTCAGCGTCCAGAAAAGCCCCCAGCCCACAACTGTGAAGTCCCAGCCTGTCGCTACAGCCCTTCTGTGTCCCGGGGTCACCTCCCTCCCCCCTGTCCCCAGTTTCCTCCAGACCTACTGCCTCTGACCCGGCGGTTGGTGACTTCACCTCTCGCTTGGGAGGAAAAGGACCCCCTCCCCGCACTTGTCTCTGCCTTTGCACCAGGCCCCCAAACGTTAGTGGGCTGTGTCTCTGCCCCCAAGCTGGAGGCATGACTGGTGGAAGCCCTGTCGGAACTGTGACCTCTCGAGACAGCCCTCGGACAGCCTGACCAGCAGGTGTGCTGAAATTACTGAGAACATGTTACTGCTGGTATAGGCCTTTCATACTTATCCCTGGCTCTTCGGGATAATCGTGGCTTACTGTGTGGCTCTCCAGGAGCCAATCTCTCCCTTGGCCAATTAAATCAATTGCTTTTTTCTTTTTTTTTTTCTTGAGACAGGTTCTTGCTCTGTTTCCCAGGCTGGAATGCAGTGGTGTGATCATGGCTCACTGCAGCCTTGACCTCCCAGGCTCAAGCAATCCTCCTGCCTCTGCCTCCTGAGTAGCTGGGACTACAGGCACACATGCCACCATGTCCAGCTGATTTTTTGTAGAGACAGGGTCTCACCACATGGCTCAGGCTGGTCTCAACTTCCTGGTAGCCTCAAATGATTCACCCCCACCCCTGGCCTCCCAAAGTGCTAGGATTACAGGCGTGAGCCACCGTGCCTGGCCCAACTTCTGACTTGATTTCTGCCTTCTGAAATGTGCCTTTCTCTAGGACGTGGGTTCGCCTGCTGTGCCGCCCTGAACAAGCCCCTTGCCCTCCAGCTAGCTGCCTGTGCTGTTGCTGCCAGGCCAGCCTCCAGCTCTGTCCCCAGCTCCTGGTCATTGGCCTGCCTGGCACTGACAGATTGGCCTTCAACTGAATGAGGTCCACAGGCCTCTTGCAGGCCCCCATCCCAGCTTCCCCTTTTTTTGTCTTGACAAATGTCCAGTTGATTCTTTCTTCATCATGTCCTCCAAGAAGTTGTCATTTTCTCCTTTTCCAGATTTACTGTGACTTCCTCCCTGCTGGCAGGCGCCCTGTATTTTGTGCTTATATGTTCCTGGAACTGCTTTCTGGCCCCTACTCTTTCTGTGTCCACTGAGCCTAGCGCTGCCCACAGGTCTGCCCTCTGCAGTCCAGTCAGGCTTGGCCTCTGGAGCTGGAGTCCGGGGCCCTCCCAGTACTCAGTTCCTGGCTGCCATCCCCTTTCTTCCCTGTGTTCCTCTTGGTACCTCCTCCTCCTGCCAGCCACATGATCTTCCTGCTGCCCTCGGTACGGAAGGGCCCGCTCGCTTCCTACCTCTGGTGGGCTGTGGTCTCACAGTGTCCACTACCTGGGTGGCTGAGTTCCCTGTATTCAGTCTCCTACCCACGTGTCTGCCATGCTCTGGTCTCTTGTGCATACGTGATGCAGTGGATGTGGTCCTGGGCCTGCAGTGGGGGCCCCCAAAATGCACTGTAATTGATCTACGTGCTCCCCAGGAAAAAATGCACTGGAACAGGAGTTCCAGGACAGGCCCTGGGTCCCAGTCTGCAGGTGCACTGGGTGTTGGCGTGGCATGTCTGGGCACCTCCAGGGTGGCGTGGAGGAGGCAGTGAGGCTCCCTGGCCCAGGTCCCAGCATCCTCCCTCCCTCTAGCCACTCCCTGGATACCCAGTGCTGTTGGCTTGGGTGACTCCTCTCTCTCTCTCTCCTCCCCGCCAACTTGGGACACCTACTATGAAGCCCTTCCCCAGCGCCCCCTTCTGCTCTCCTGGAGTGCATGCCACTGTGCCTGGAGGTCACCGTGCCTGTGTCCTCACTCCTGCTCAGTGCTGGGGCACAGGGTAGGCAACTTGTGTGGCCCAAATACGTCAGTAAAATGTGAAGCAGAATGGTGGGGGCAGTCCTAGTCCCTCTGCCTCTGACCTCTGGAGTCTTCTGCAGGTCAGGCTGGTTATTGATCTTTTCCTTTAAAAGACCATGGCGAGCAGGGCATGGTGGCCCACACCTGCAGTCCCAGCACTTTGGGAAGCCAAGGTGGGCGGATCACTTGAGGTCAGGAGTTCAAGACCAGCCTGACCAACTTGGACAAACCCCATCGCTACTAAAAATACAAAATTAGCCAGGCAAGGTGGCACATGCCTGTGGTCCCAGCTACTCAGGAGGCTGAGGGAGGGATAATCACTTGAACCCAGAAGGCAGAGGTTGCGGTAAGCCGAGATTGCGCCATTGCACTCCAGCTTGGGCAACAAGAGCAAAACTCCATCTCAAAAAAAAAAAAAAAAAAAAGGCAATGGCATGAGTGCTGTGGGCAGAGATGGGGAAGGGAGTTGCCAGTTGCAGTCCCCTCGGGCAGCTCAGTAGGCCCCTGTGGTGGATCTGGAGGGCAGAAGTCAGAAAGGCAGCCGAGTTCCCGTGACTCTGCTGTGTCCACAGAATTCTCCACGTTGAAAATAGGGCCTAGGAGAGGGGAATTCAAAAGAAAGGCAACCTTCTCTTGGGAGAGGAAGGAAGGACAGCTCTGGAGGAGACAGGCAGCCCTGAAGCCCACCCCTGACAGCACTGCTGTGGTGGGAGGCTTGGGCCCTCTGACCAGGCCCCTGTGTGCCTGGGGCCACCGTGTGTGCAGGGGAGACCTCTGAGAGGTCCGCTGAGGCCTCGTGATTGAACTGGTGATGATCCCTTTCATCTTCTCTGTGCCCCCATTATCTTCGTGGCTCGTTTTTCTCCTCTCTGGTTGGTTTTTATTTATTTTTTGAGATGGAGTGTCCTCCTTGTTGCCCAGGCTGGACTGCAATGACAAGATCTTGGCTTTTTGTAACCTATGCCTCCCAGGTTCAAGCGATTCTCTCAGCCTCAGCCTCCCTAGTAGCTGGGATTACGAGCCCCCACCACCACATCCAGCTAATTTTTTTATTTTTAGTAGAGACTGCGTTTCATCATGTTGGCCAGGCTGGTCTTGAACTCTTGACGACTTTGTGGTATGCTTGCCTAGGCTTCCCAAAGAGCTGGGATTGTAGGTGTGAGCCACCGCGCCCAGCCTCCTCTCTGGTTAGAGAAGATTCTCCAGTCTCTCATGGGTCCAGGCCTGCTGTGTGGCCAAGGGTGCTGAGAGGTGCCCTTTGTGGCAGAATGCTTGGCCCTCCTGGGGGAATATTGGGGAGCTTGAGCTGGCAGTGAGTCAGGGGTGCTGTGGCCTGGGTGACAGGAGTGGCCAGGGTCAGCTGCTTCTGACCCTCAAGTCACAGCCTATAGCCATGGTTTTGCCATCCCTAAGACCTGTGGTGCCTTCTACAGCATGTTGTCCTGGGTAGTAGCCCTGAGGGTCGGCTGCCCCTGACCACACATGGGGGCTGCTGAGGCTGCACTGGGGCTCCCTGGGATACAAGTGGGTTCACCGAAGAGCCAGGAGACCCAGATCGACGAGGCTGTGGCAGTGCCTGCTGCTGGTGGAAGAGCTGGACTCTGAGGGTGGGGGTCTTCTGTAGAGGAAGGAAGGAGTGGCCATCCCAGGCTCCTTTTGCTCGCCTGTAGCTGTTCCTCCTGGGTCATCCTGCCCTGGGCTGGGTGCTGCCTTTGGCTCCCCCTCTGCGTATGATAACTTGGGGTGGCCCTCGAAGCTGTTCCAAAGCTGCACCCGAAGGTCCTAGCCCCAACTGGCCTGTGTGTTCCTGTGGGCTCACGCTGCCTTTCTCCCACAGCCCTGGGCGCTGCCTATGGCACGGCCAAGAGCGGCACCGGCATTGCGGCCATGTCCGTCATGCGGCCGGAGCTGATCATGAAGTCCATCATCCCAGTTGTCATGGCTGGCATCATCGCCATCTACGGCCTGGTGGTGGCAGTCCTCATCGCCAATTCCCTGAATGATGACATCAGCCTCTACAGGTAAGCGCTGGGTCCACCCTACCTGGTGCTTGCCCCGCCTGGCGTCAGGCCCCTGCGCGGGGTTGGGGGGCTGCAGGGAGGGTTCTCTTCCCCTGTGGGTGGTGACCCGGGCCCTTGTTTCCCCCCCGGGCCGGCAGGCTGCTGATGTGAGCCCTCTTTTCTTGCCCCAGGAGCTTCCTCCAGCTGGGCGCTGGCCTGAGCGTGGGCCTGAGCGGCTTGGCAGCTGGCTTTGCCATCGGCATTGTGGGGGACGCCGGCGTGCGGGGCACCGCCCAGCAGCCCCGACTATTCGTGGGGATGATCCTGATCCTCATCTTCGCCGAGGTGCTCGGCCTCTACGGTCTCATCGTCGCCCTCATCCTCTCCACAAAGTAGCCCCTCTCCAAACCCACCAGCCACAGAATATTATGTAAAGACCACCCCTCCTCATTCCAGAACGAACAGCCTGACACATGCACGGGGCCGCCGCCCCCAGTAGTTGGTCTTGTACATGCGCAGTGTCCTAGTGCCCATCGTCTGTTGCCCCGGCCTTGCCCCCGCCCGCCCCGTGCCGTGGACATCTGGGCCCACTCATCGCCCCTCCAGGCCCCCGGCGCCCCACCCCCTAGAGTGCTCTGTGTATGCGGATGATGTAGAGTTGTCATTTCTCTTAACTGGATGTTTATTTATAAAGATCTGGCCTGTTCTTGCATCTGCGGAGCGGCCCTCGTCTCCCAGCTATCTATAACCTTAGCTAGAGTGTCGCCTTGTGGGTTCCTGTTGCTGAGACTTCTGGATGGAGCCGCCCTCGCCCCCGGGCCCTTGGCCTTGCGCGGAGCTGTGTCCAATAAAGTTCTCGGATGTGTCGGGCCTGTGTCTGTGCCGCTTGTTGGGCGCGGGGGCGGGCGGCCGCCGGGCGCTGCCGGTCACGTGGGCCGGCGGGTCACGTGGGTGCGGCGGTCACGTGGCGCGGTGCGTCAGTCAGCTGAGGGTCACGTGGCCGCGGCCGCTCTCTAGGCCGGGATTGGTCTCCGGGCGCGGGGTTTGGTGCCGCGGGGCTCCGGAACTGCTCGCTCCGGACCGGGCTCATGATGCGCGGCGGGCAGGGCGCGGTGGGAGCCCGGGTGCTCCAGTTCACCAACTGCCGCATCCTGCGCGGAGGGAAGCTGCTCAGGTGGGCGCAGGCCGAGGGGGCTGCGGGACCGGACGGGGTGCGGGGCCGGGGACCGGGCGGGGTGCGGGGCCGGGGTCGGGCCCGCGATGCCAGTGCCCGCCCGCTCCATCTGCAGGGAGGACCTTTGGGTGCGCGGCGGCCGCATCCTGGACCCGGAGAAGCTCTTCTTTGAGGAGCGGCGCGTGGCCGACGAGCGGCGGGACTGCGGGGGCCGCATCTTGGCGCCCGGCTTCATCGACGTGCAGATCAATGGTGCGGCCCGGGGCGGCAGGGGGACCCAGGGGAAGAGCTCTGAGCGCCGTGCGATTCCCCGCTTTCTATGGCCGCAGGTGGATTTGGTGTTGACTTCTCCCAGGCCACGGAGGACGTGGGTTCGGGGGTTGCCCTGGTGGCCCGGAGGATCCTGTCGCACGGTGTCACCTCCTTCTGCCCCACCCTGGTCACTTCCCCACCGGAGGTTTATCACAAGGTGAGGTGAGGCTCTCTGGCCCAGGCGGAGAGGGCTCCTGGAGCAGCCAGCGCCCTCTTTTTCAAACTCATGCTCCGCCCCCAGCACGTACTCGGTGGCCCTGAGTCTGGCCTCCCCTGCTGACCGGAGCCGGGCCCGGGTCCCGCCCCTGTGCTTCTCTCTCAGTTGTCGCTCTGTCTGGCTTCCCTAGACCTTCTGTTCTCCACAACTGTCCCCACACTGCTGGCTCAGCACTCTCCCTCCGAGCCATAGGCTGTCCGTCCCCACCCCTGCACTGTACTCTGGCCGCTTCCACGCTTCAGAAACCACCCCCTTAAACAAGGTCGCAGGGGACTCTGTGATTGGCACAGCTGTAATCCCTGGTCAGGCTCTTCCTCCCCAACCTGTCTGTGATGTGTGACTCGGTGGAACACGCCTTCCAGAAGAGAGTCCCTGTGCTCCTGTGCTGCGTGTCCCATGCTTCCACTTTCCTTCCTGCCCAGGAGGAATTTGGTTGTCTTTGATCTGTTTTTGATTTTTTTTTTTTTTTAAACCTAGGTTCTCCAGGGTTAAGTCTTTGCTTTGCGTGTTACTATTCAGGCTCCTTTTGGCTTGTGTATGCTACCGTTTTTTTCTGGCTGGACTATTTGAGAGTAGGTTGTATACCACATGCCTTTTGTTTAGTTTTCGTTTCTTTTTTAAGAGACAGGGTCTTGCTCTGTGGCCCAGGCCGGAATAAAGTGGCGTGGTCATAGCACCTTGCAGCCTCAGCCTCCTCTGCTCAAGCGATCCTCTTGCTTCAGCCTCGTGAATAGATAGGAATACAGGTGTGTGCCACCATGCCCAGCCAGTTTTAACATATTTTGTACAGATGAGGTCTCATTGTGTTGCCCAGGCTGGTTCTGAACTCCTGGGCTCAAGAGATCCTCCTCTGTTAGTCCCCCAGAGCAGCTGGGACTACAGGCTTGTGCCACCACACCAGCTAATTTAAAAAATTTTTTGTAGAGAGGGAGGTCTCATGTTACCCAGGCTGGTCTCAAACTCCTAGGGTCAAGAAATCTGCCTCGGTCTCCCGCAGTGCTGGGATTACAGGCAAGAGCCACTGTGCCTGCCCCCATTGTTCCTGTTTTTTCCTTAGTACTTAACTATTCTATTTATCTATTTATTTATTTATTTATTTATTTAGAGGTGGAGTCTCGCTCTGTCGCCCAGGCTGGAGTGCTGTGGTGCAATCTCGGCTCACTGCAACTTCCGCCTCAGGTTCAAGTGATTCTTCTGCCTCAGCCTCCCAAATAGCTGGGACTACAGGTGTACACCACAATGCCTAGCTAATTTTTGTATTTTTAGTAGAGACAGGGTTTCACCATGCTGGCCACACTGGTCTGGAAATCCTGACCTCATGATCCACCTGCCTTGGCCTCCCAAAGTGCTAGGATTACAGACATGAGCCACCGAGCCCGGCCAGTACTTAACAATTTCTTTAAATAATGAATGTTTGCTTATGAAGCCACAAGAGTTAGTGAGTTTAGAAAGTGAACACTGTTAAGAGGACTTAAATTGAGCCGTCTGTGTTCTAGTTCTGTCCACAGCCCTAGCCATTTTTCCCCTTCCAGCATAGGAGTCATTTCAAGATCATAGCCTGTACATGCCCAGGGACGGGCAGAGTCAGATCAGGGAGCAATGGGGGTGGTGTGTGGGCTCTGGGCGAGGGCTTCTTGGATTTAGCATTGGCCTCCTGATAACATGTGTCAGCTGGAACACTCAGGACAGGCTTCTGCCTTTGTGAGCCTCCATTTCCTCAAACCTAAAGTGAGGATGATGGCAGTATGCATCTCTTAGCGGCGTCGGGTGCTTGGCATCGTGCGTGATACACTGTTAACCACTCAGTATCAGCCGTGGATGTCTTTTTAGAAATTTCCCACAGCTCTCCCCACACAGTCAGATGTCAAAAACCGGACATCAACAACCTGCTGCCCCCTGGTACCTGATTCTCGCAGCTGCTCTCTGGGGCTCTGGGGCCTGCTAGAGCGACCCGTCCGAGATCCAGTGCTCAGCACATCCGCTCTGCCCGCCCCACCTTGCAGCATTCCTTTCCTGCCTGACCAGCCCTCTTCTCTGTCCCAGGCACATTCCCCACTCCTTTCCCCAGCCTCTCGGCCTGGTCGGCATTGGCCTGCTCCCCAGGCCTCCTCTGCTAAGCCTGGCCCACCCGTCCCCACTGTGCCCTGGATTGCTGGGGCACGTCCAGCCAGTACGGGCGTGGGAGGGACTGTGGCTCTTCTTCCTTTTGAGGAGTCTGACAAGTAGGACTGGGTTTTCTTCCCAGCATCTGCTGCAGTCCAGGTGTCTTACAGACCCTCAGCACACACTTCTGGGATGAAGGCAGAGGGTCAACTATTGAGAATTGCGAAGCCTCCTGCCTGGATCATCTTAGAAGCTGGAGGCCCTTTCACTTGGCTCTCCTGCCTCCATGAATACCACCTCTTCCAAGACCCATTCACCCTGGGTAGAATTGGATGGCCACTTTTCCAGGAGTTTCCTAGGTCGTTTCTTGTCCTGTGTGGTCCACCGAGACCACCTGCTCTTTTTCGGGGGGTTTCTGCCTACCCTTTGCTATGGTACTTGAGACAGGTCACATCACTTTGTTCTCTGCTTCAAGTCTGTTACCTGCTGAGCCAAGGTGAGGTACCTCCTTCGAGGGGCAGCCAGGCCCCTGCCTCTGGCCCCACATGCCCTCCACACTTTGACCTTTTCAGCTGCTTATCTGCCTGGAGTGTGCCTCACTCCCCGCTACTCACTTCATCTCTTGCTCTCTCTATGGAGCACTCTCTCGTTTCCTTCTAAAGCTCCATTCTAGAAGAACTCAGCCATTGTCTTTTTTTTTTTTTTTTTCTTTTCCTGTTTTGATCTTTAGTGAACCTGTCTAGCCACAGGGCTTGTGAAGAAAAACAGCGGTCCTTTGCCCCAACCAGCTTGCACCCTAGGGACAATCACTTTCAACCCAGCGGACTCTTGGAATTTGCCCCCATATCTCAAAAAACTACACTGGGCTCTCAGTCTTTCAGCTTAGGGCAGAATCCATTGCTTTGCACCGGGAGAGCTGAACGTCAGTGCTCTCTCGGCTCTGTGAGTCCTTTTGGCTTCTTTCTCTCCCTCATCTTCCCCGAGTAGTTCCCCATAATTGTGACCAGAACAGCCACATAGGTCAGTCATCAGGGTGGTATGAAGGGACGTGCGGCTGAGTGACAGTTTCTCTGCTGCCAACTCTGCTTGCTTTATGCTGAGTGTCCTTGGTTAGTGTTCTAGCTCTTACCTCAGCTCCAGGCTTCCTGTGCGTAGTTTCACTCCCCTCTCCGGCCATTTGTTCGTTTATTTACTCTTTGAGATGGAGTCTCCATCTGTCGCCCAGGCTGGAGTGCAGTGGCGCGATCTCTGCCCGCTACAACCTCCGCCTCCCGGGTTCAAGCCATTCTCCTGCCTCAGCCTCCTGAGTAGCTGGGATTACAAGCACCTGCCACCACACCCGGCTAATTTTTGTATTTTTAGTAGAGATTGGGTTTCACCATGTTGGCCAGGCTGGTCTCGAACTCCTGACCTCCTCGGCTTCCCAAATTGCTGGGATTACAGGTGTGAGCCACTGTCCCTGGCTGAGTGTTTCTTTTTCTTTTTCTCTTCTTTCTTTCTTTTTAAATGGAGTTTTGCTCTTGTCACCCAGGCTGGAGTACAGTGGCACAATCTTGGCTTACTGCAACCTCTGTCTCCTGGGTTCAAGCAAGTCTCCTGCCTCAGCCACCAGAGTAGCCGGGACTACAGATATGTGCCAAAACGCCTGGCTAATTTTTATATTTTTATTTATTATTTATTTACCTTTTTTTTTTTTTTTTTGAGATGGAGTTTCGCTCTTGTTACCCAGGCTGGAGTGCAATGGCGCGATCTCGGCTCACCGCAACCTCCACGTCCTGGGTTCAGGCGATTCTCCTGCCTCAGCCTCCTGAGTAGGTGGGATTACAGGCACGCGCCACCATGCTCAGCTACTTTTTTGTATTTTTAGTAGAGACGGGGTTTCACCATGTTGACCAGAATGGTCTCGATCTCTTGACCTCGTGATCCACCCGCCTCGGCCTCCCAAAGTGCTGGGATTACAAGCTTGAGCCACCGCGACCAGCTATTTATTTACTTATTTTTGAGACAGTCTCACTCTGTCGTCCAGGCTGGAGTGCAATGGCATGATCTCAGCTCACTGCAACTTCCGCCTTCAAGGTTCAAGCGATTCTCCTGCCTCAGCCTCCCAAGTAGCTTGGATTATAGGCCCATGCCACTGTGCCTGCTGGTCTCAAGCTCCTGACCTTGTGACCCACCTGCCTCAGCCTCCCAAGTGGTGGGATTAGAGGCATGAGCCACTGGGCTGGCCGCATGTTCCTTTTCCTCCCATCCTGTTTTTGTTTCAGGGACAAAAGGCCTCTTACTGGCTACAGGGCGGTCATCATGGCCCTTTTCCTTGTCCGTCTCTCCTCGTGATCTCTGCTTTCCCGCCTGGCCCTGTCCTCTTGTGCTCGGGCTCCTTTTTGAGGTTTGCCCAGGCCACCTGCTGAACTTGGTGGTGTACTGTCTTTCAGAACGGGGGACCCATCCTGTGGGAGGGATTTTGTGGGGACACCTGTAGGTTGGAGTCCCTGGGTCCTTCTCTTGGGCTGTCTGGGTTCCCTGAGAAGAGTCTTGCTGTGCTTAGAGGGGCTGGGCCTAGCTGGCAGCTTGCCAAGCACCTCAAGAACACACATTTCCCAAGTTCCTGCTGTGCCCACACTGACCCTTGCCCTGGGCCCTCTGCTCTACTTACCCAGAGACCTGGCTACCACACTTGGGGCAGGTGCTCTTCTGTTGGTCCCCCCATCACCCCACTTCTCAAGGCACCAGCCTGAGCCTGTGGGGGTCTTCCCCGGCTGCATGCACGCACTCAGACCTACCTGGTGTCTGCTTGCCAAGCCCCCAAAGGCCTCCTCTTCCTGTCCTCTGTTCACCCCCTGGCTTAAGCCTCTTAACAATTTTACTGTTGGCTGGGCGTGGTGGGGCATGCCTGTAATCCCAGCACCTTGGGAGGCTGAGGCAGGCGGATCACCTGAGGTCAGGAGTTCGAGACCAGCCTGGCCAACATGGTGAAACCCGTCTCTACAAAAATTCAAAAATTAGCCGGGCATGGTGGCGCGCACTTGCAGTCACAGCTGCTCGGGAGGCTGAGGCAGGAGAATCGCTTGAACCCAGGAGGCGGAGGTTGCAGTGAGCCAAGATGATGCCACTGTTTTCCAGCCTGGGTGAGAGTGAGACCCTGTCTCAAAACAGAAGTCTTACTGTTGGCCGGGTGCAGTGGCTCACGCCTGTAATCCCAGAAGTTTAAGAAGCTGAGGTGGGCGGATCACGAGGTCAGGAGATCAAGAGCAGCCTGGCTAACAAGGCAGAACATCTCTACTAAAAATACAAAATTAGCCGGGCGTGGTGGTACGTGTAATCCCAGCTACTCTGGAGGCTGAGGCAGGAGAATTGAAACCAGAAGGTGGAGGTTGCAGTGAGCTGAAATCCTGGGCAATAGAGCGAGACTGTGTCTCAGAAACAAGTCTTACTGTAATGTAGGGTGGGGAGTTCAAGGGAGGATACAGTCCAGCCACCATCCTCACCTGAAGCTCTTCTCTCTGGGAAGCACCCCAGGCCCGTGACTGTGTTGGAGGGAGTGTGGGCTGGGGTGCCTGCCCACCTGTTGACCTCCGAGATGCGTGGTATGTACCCGTGTCTGCCCTCTCCCTGACACTCTGTGTCTTCCTGATGGTGCCCAGCTCCTGCCACGGTGTGGGCCACACACAGTGCTGAGTGCTGGCCACGCCCATACTGACTCTTCTGCAGGGTCCCTTTGGCTCCCGCCTCCTGCCTCCTGGCCCTGCTCCCTGGGCTGTCCTCAGTGCCCACACGCCTGCCTATGTGACCCGGGGGCTGCTGGCCTCCCACTCGCCTGTCATTTCTTCCTGCTCCTGCCATGTGTCCTTTAGTTCTGCTGGCTGTGCTTTCCCTGACCCCTGTGAAGGGAGAGGCAGCTGGAGCTGGAGCTGGGCTGGGCTGGGCTCTGAACTCTGACCCTGAATTTCTGGCCTTGGCAGGGCTGTGGCCTCTGGGCATGGGCCGTGGGGGACAGGGCTTTAACAGCTGGTTCCCCCCAGGTTGTTCCTCAGATCCCTGTGAAGAGTGGTGGTCCCCATGGGGCAGGGGTCCTCGGTGAGTGGCTGACCCCCTCCCCACCCCCACCCTGGGAGGCTCCTGTGGGACCTGTTGGCAGCCCCAACTCCTCCAGATGCCCAGCTGGTGGGGAGGGCAGGCAAGAAGGGCAGGGTGGGGCGGGGGCCTGCTGGAGCCGCTCACTCCCTCCTCCCAGGGCTGCACCTGGAGGGCCCCTTCATCAGCCGGGAGAAGCGGGGCGCACACCCCGAGGCCCACCTCCGTTCCTTCGAGGCCAATGCCTTCCAGGACTTGCTGGCCACCTACGGTACCCTGGACAATGTCCGCATCGTGACGCTGGCCCCGGAGCTGGGCCGTAGCCACGAGGTGATCCAGGAGCTGACGGCCCGAGGCATCTGCGTGTCCCTAGGTGAGGGGCCAGCTCAGGGCAGGTCTGCCTGGGGGACCTGGGCCAGGTGCAGAGTTTGAATCCTGGTCCCGCAGGGCACTCAGTGGCCGACCTTCGGGCGGCAGAGGATGCTGTGTGGAGCGGAGCCGCCTTCATCACCCACCTCTTCAATGCCATGCTGCCTGTGAGCACTGTGGAGCCCCGGGGGTGGGGCAGGGTCCCAGCAGCCCCTGCGGTTCACTCAGCCATCCCCTCCCCTGACCCTGCCCAGTTCCACCACCGCGACCCAGGCATCGTGGGGCTCCTGACCAGTGACCGGCTGCCCATGGGCCGCTGCATCTTCTACGGGATGATTGCAGATGGCACGCACACTAACCCTGCTGCCCTGCGGATTGCCCACCGTGCCCACCCCCAGGGTAAGCCCGGGTAGGTGGTTGGGGCACGTGGGATGACTGGGCCAGCAGGTTCTGAGCCTCTTCTCCACCAGGGCTGGTGCTGGTCACCGATGCCATCCCTGCCCTGGGCCTGGGCAACGGCCGGCACACGCTGGGACAGCAGGAAGTGGAAGTGGATGGGCTGACGGCCTATGTGGCAGGTGAGCGCCCCAACCCACTGGGCCCCAGGTCCCAGCCCGCATGCCAGGTGGCCCACGACCCCCCAGAGCCTGCCCTCTCTGCTCTCAAGGCACCAAGACGCTGAGTGGCAGCATAGCCCCCATGGATGTCTGCGTCCGGCATTTCCTGCAGGCCACAGGTCAGTGAGCAGCACAGGTGCGGGTGCAGGTGGTCTGTGGCCAGTGCGTCCCAGGGGCTGGACCAGGTGCCTGGAGTATAGCCAGGGTCCTGCCCACAGGAGCTCCTGGGCAGTGGGCATGTGGTGACTCGGGCCCAGGGTGACAGACAGAGCAGCGGGACCCTTGTTGGCTTGCTGCAGAGTCCCTGAGACAGGGAGTGCTGGGGTGGGGAGGGGCTGCTGGCGAAGCCACATGGGCCTGGGGACCATCACCTAGTTGTGTCCCCCAAGCAGGCTGTAGTGTGGAGTTGGCCCTGGAAGCTGCATCCCTGCACCCTGCCCAGTTGCTGGGGCTGGAGAAGAGTAAGGGGACCCTGGACTTCGGTGCTGATGCAGGTGAGGGCCCATCTCAGGGTCACCGGGCAGTTTAGCCTTGCCAGACAGGGGCAGGGAGGGTGGTTCCTCCTCGCTAGCTCCCTTCCCTCAGGTGGGCTGCCGGCTGCCAGCCTCTGGTGTAGCCCCAGTTGCCATCAGGGCAGGCTTTCCAGTGTTGCAGGCAAAGCCAGGCACGGGGTTGCAGGGAGCGTTGTCCGTCTGTGACGGTGGTGTTCCTGGTCCTCAGTTTCCCCACCAGCATCGGGTTGTTGGGGAGCAGATCTGGGATGGGTGGCAGTCCCGCTCCCGCCCCCTACTTACCGCCCGGCTCTGCCCCAGACTTCGTGGTGCTCGACGACTCCCTCCACGTCCAGGCCACCTACATCTCGGGTGAGCTGGTGTGGCAGGCGGAGGCAGCCAGGCAGTGAGGAGGACCTCTGCTGAGAGCGCGCCCGGCCGCAGCTGAATGCCGTCGGGGCTGGGTGGTTGGGGAGCTGGACTCCAGGGAGCGAGCTGGGAGCCCTACTGGGCTGATGCCCAGGGCCTGTGTGCCCGCCCTGGAGGCGGTGGCTGGGATAAATGTGTACCCAGTAGGATTTGACTTGGCTCTGGGTTTTGCTTGTGCTCGCACGTGGCACCGTTCCCATTTGCCCTCCTGGGGAAGGCATTTGAGGGCTGGGGCTCAGCCTGGGTCTTGTGGGCCTCAGTGGGGGACAGGGCCTGTCTGCACGAGGTGGACCTGAGACTTGCAGGCCCCCGGAAAATGTCACTGCGGGAGGGAGAGGGCAGCCAGTCAGTGGCTGGCACTGTGGGGTGAAGCCGCTGTAGGCTGCAGGTGGACAGTGGGCAGGAAGGGGGGCCGGGACGGGGTGTGGACAGTCAGGGATTTGCTCTCTGCACCTGAGTTGGGTGTGCGGCATGGAGCTCATGGCCTACTTGTGAGCCAGGGCACAGTGCCAGGTGGTCTGCTCTGACCTCCAGGAAGGAGGCTGTGTCTGGAACCCGTGCCCTCTGCTCCCTGGCCTGCCCAGCCCTCAGTGCCGTGGATGACCTGCATTCCGTCTCCTCACCCATCCCCAGGCCTGGTGCTTGCCGGCCATGGTGATCCTGCCTGGTGCTGGAGGGCAGTATGGGAGACACCAGTGTGCCCTGCTCAACCTGTTAGTCTCATCTTGCCATCTTCCATGTCCCCTTGGCCCTGACACACACCCATGAGGCCAGCACAGGCCGTGAGGCACCCTGAACAGCTTCGATGTGGGTGGGCTTTGGGAGCCTTCTGGCTTTGAGGACAGCCATGATGGTGCCAGACATCAGGGGCTGGTGCAGCCCCAGGTCAGGGGTGGTTGTCTTGACTTTCCATTTGGGTTCCGGGGCAGGTGGCCCCCTTCCCCCTCACTTACAGGTGTTGTCCTTGGTGCAGGAGGTATGTACCTGGCATTGCCACTGTTCCTTCCCCTCTGCTGCAAAGCCCAGTTAAGGCAATGTCTCCAGGTTCAGAGATGAGGATGGTCTAGGCTCCACCTGTTGGAAGAGAACAGCCAGGGAAGAGCCATCTGCAAGACAGGGCCTGGCCTGAGGGAGGGCCTGGGGTTGATCTCAGCCCACAGCCCCAGGGGGCACATCGGCAGACCAGGAAAGCAGGCACCCGATGTGGATCCTGACCTCCTGGGAGGTGTGGGGTACAGGGATACCCAGCTCTTCCTCGATAACTGTGCAGCCCTCATGACGTGGCTGCCCAGCGCCTGCCTGAGCTGGGCCTGGGAGAGGAGCTGTCAGCCTGGGCTACCAGGCAGGAAGAGCCAGGCGAGGTTCTCAGCGATGTGTTTGAGGCCTAGCAGCACCTGTGCTCCGCTTGCTGGCTGTAGGCGCTTGCCCGTCCTCAGCTAAAACCCAGAGCTGGCCTGTTAGTCGTTCCCCACCTCCAACGGGGCACCCAGTCCCAGAGCGGGTGATCCATGGGCCAGCCTTTGGGCCTTGCCTGCCGCATTCCACTGACTAGCGCCCTACCTCCGTGGGTGGAGGGTTGGGGAGGGGATGGCTGAGATGGGTGGTCTGTAAGGTGACCCCAGAAACGGAGCTAGTCATGGGTGGTGGGAGGGGGCCCGGGATCAGGGTGAGTGAGCTGGGCCAGGGAACTGCTGCCAGAGTGTGGATTTTATTTGAGGCGTGGGGGAAGCACTCTTGGTGGGTTTTGGTTTGCTTTTTAAAAATTGTAAACTACATACAACAAAAGTAACTATCCTAAGTGAGCAGTTACGTGGCATGAAGTGAATTCACTGCATTGTGTGACCTCGGCCACCATCCGTCTCCATTCCCCACTGCTCACTCCCGCCGGGCTTCCAGCCCCGCCCCACCATTCCTCTCCCTCTAGAGCTATGAGTTTTACGCAGAAGAATGCAGGGCACCCTGGCTTCGTGGTAAGGGGCAGGCCTGCCCGCGGTGTGAGCATGCGTTGGAGGGGGACGCCTAGGAGTCTGCCTGAGTCACGGGTTGGGGGATCAGGCCTGTAGGGAGGGATGGAGTTGGAGGTGCCTGCTCTGAGCCACCTGGCGGGATGTGGCCCGTTTCGTCCTGTGTGAACGGGAGATCAGACCCAGCGCCTACGATTGGACACACCGCAGGAGGCCGGGCTGAGCCTTCGGTTTGAGACCGAGCGCCGAGGGATCCCAGCCACGTCCCTTTCGCAGTGCGAGCCTCTGCACCTCGTGGCCTCCGAGCGACCGCGTTTGGGGCGTGGGCGCGGGAGACAGTCAGCCGGGAAGCTCTCCACCAATCCGGCCCCGCCCCGCCCAGACTTGCAGCCCAGGCGATGAGTCCACGCGGATCCACTAGTCTGGGAGCGACGCTGCGAGGGCCGCCACGCCTGCTGTGGGAGGGGCTTTTGGGCGCGGGACTCTGTCGGGCCAATTAGGATCGCCCCAGGGAAGGCACGCGTCGTGGCCGAGCAATAGGGGCGCACGTCGTCCTCGCCGGTTAACCCGCGCAGTCCCGGAAGGCGGGGGGAGCTGGGGGACCAACGCGGCCTCTCCGCACCCTTCACACCCTTGCGGGTCCTTCCTTGCTCCACCCCTCCCCGCCGTGTCACCCGCATCCACCCCTGCGGACCCCGCCTCGCCCCAACGCTCCTTGCTGCGCTCGACCCCACACCCCTTGCGGACTTCTCCGTGCCCCAGTGCTCCCCACTGTATCCCCCACACCCCTCCAGATTCCGCGCCCCAGCGCTCCCCGCCTCGACCCCCACATCCCTGCAGACTCCACATTGCCCAGCCCTCCCTGCCGCAACCCCCAGAACCCTGCGGATCTCGTCTCTCCCTGCCGCGCCCCCCACACCTCTGCAGACCTTGCCTCGTCTAACCCTCTGCGCTCATCCAGTCCCAGCTCTCCCGGTCGGGTACCCCACATCCCTGCAGACCCCACCGGGCCTCAGCTTTCCCTTCTCGTACCGATCATGCACAAGTGGATCCCCTACACCCCAACTTGGCGCGGGTCCCGCACCTCCACACCTCGCCTCCTCCCGCCCTCACTGCCTTTGGGAAGTGGAGGGAAGGGGTGGGCAAGCACTCTAGAAGCACCCTGGTTGGGAGCTTCCGAAACTGAGTTGGTTTTGAGCCCTGGCCGGAGACCCAGGGTGGGCACGGCAGGGGATATTGGCACCAGAAGCGTGGAGAAAGAGCACCTCCTCAGCCCAGCTTTTCCGTTCCTGGAGCCCTCGGACAACTCCAGAATGTGCTCCCTTCCATCCTGGCCCTGCGCCTTTTACCACATTTATGTAACATATATTTTTTCTTTTCTTTTTTTTTCTTAGAGTCTCGATGTGTTGCCCAAGCTGGAGTGCTGTAGCACATTATTGGCTCACTGCAACCTCCGACTCCGGAGTTCAAGCAATTCTCCTGCCTTAGCCTTCCGAGTAGCTGGGACTATAGGCTCCTGCCATCACGCTCAGCTAGTTTTTTATATTTTTAGTAGAGACAGGGTTTCATCATATTGGCCAGGCTGGTCTTGAACTCCTGACCTTGTGATCCAGCCACCTCAGCCTCCCAAAGTGTTGAGATTACAGGCGTGAGCCACCGCGCCTGGCCACATAGGTTTTTATTAAATGGAATTGCACTTTTGCTATTACTTTGCAGTTTGGTGGGGGTTCTTTTTGTTTTTTGGGTTTTTTTTTTTCTTTGAGACCGAGCCTCACAGTGTTTCGCAGGTGGAGTGCAGTGACACAATCTCTGCTCACTGCAATTTCTGTCTCCTGGGTTCAAGCGATTCTCCTGCCTTAGTCTCCTGAGTAGCTGGGGCCTGCCACCATGCCTGGCTAGTTGGTTTTGTATTTTTAGTACAGATGGGGTTTCACCATGCTGGCCAGGCTGGTCTTGAACTCCTGACTTCAAGTGATCCATCTGCCTCAGCCTCATCAAGTGCTGGGATTACAGGCATGAGCCACCAGGCCCAGCCTTTACTGGTTTTTTGTTTTGTTTTGTTTTGTTTTTTTTGAGATGGAGTCGCTCTGTCACCCAGGCTGGAGTGCAGTGGTGCCATCTCAGCTCACTACAACCTCTGCCTCCCTGGTTCCGGCAATTCTCCAGCCTCAGCCTCCAGAGTAACTGGGATTATAGGCACATGCCACTGTGCCTGGCTGATTTTTATATTTTTTAATAGAGATGGAGTTTCACCATGTTGGCCAGGCTGGTCTCAAATTCCCGGCCTCCTGGCTTACACGGGAGGATATTTACCTGAAAGTTGGAAACCATTGAATGACTTTGTCATCTTTCATTCATCCATGTATCTGCAGCCCAGTAAATGTATATTGGGAGCCTCAGACATGTGACCAGAGTCTTGTGGGCCAGAGGCAGGCAGGGACCATGCTGTTGTCTTTTTTTTTTTTTTTTTTGAGACAGTCTCCTTCGGTCACCCAGGCTGGAGTTCAGTGTCGCGATCTCAGCTCACTGCAACCACCGCCTCCCTGGGTTCAAGTGGTTCTCATGCTTTGGCCTCCTGAGCAGCTGGGATTACAGGCATGCACCACCATGCCCGGCTAATTTTTGTATTTTTGGTAGTGATGGGGTTTCACCATGTTGGCCAGAGTGGTTTTGAACTCTTGACCTCAAATGATCTGCTTGCCTCACTCTCCCAAAGTACTGGGATTACAGGTATGAGCCATTACACCCAGCCAATGCTGTTGTCTTTTGAGAGCCTCCTTTTCTCTCTCTCTCTCTCTTTTTTTTAAAGAGACGGGGTTTCACCATGTTGCTCAGGCTGGTGTCGAACTCCTGACCTAGTGATCTGCTTGCCTCAGCCTCCCAAAGTCCTGGGATTACAAACATGAGCTACTGTGCCCTGCCAAGCCTCCTTTTCTGTCACCTGATCTCCCTGCCTCCCATCTCCCCTCCTCTAGTCCCCTTTAAAGACGCTGCTGAGTAGCTGCAGGGTCACTCTAGAAATGCAAGCCCGGTTGGGATCCTTGCTGGAAGAGCCCTTCCTTCCCTGGCTTTGTAATGCAGGGCCTTGTGGCATGCACACCTCCAGAGGTCCGGGTGGGGCCTGTGCTTCTTGCTTCTGTCTCTCCCTGAGATTGGAATCCTGGCTCTGTCCTCAGCTAGCTTGAAGGGG